TCATATTATGTGCTTATAGCGCGGTTACTTTAACTCCACTTGTGTAACTCTTGGATTCGATACTTTCAATTATTAAACGTGGACCTCCGAAGGTTTTATCTTTTTTTTTTAATTTTTTGGCCAGAGAATCCTCTGAAGTTGAAATTTTATGAATTTAATTAAGTATTTTTAAAAAAGAGAGGGAATAATTGATATTTTATAAAAAATAACAAAATGAGTAGAAATGTAAAAAAAAATTCACAAAAAATTATGAATATCAATTTTAGAGAGTTCAAGTCCATTGAACACCTCAAAGTGAAAAATGATCTATGAAGAATTTCTTATATGAACCTAATGTACTACATCATCCATGGTTCATTCAATAAAATTACACCAATTTAATTAAATAAAATCTTATGTATCATAATTTTTAATGAATTTATTTTTATAATAGAATGTCTGTTTAATTTCTTATCTTTTCTTTATCTACTATCATGCATTAATGTTAGAATTATTTTATATTTAATGTTATTTAAAGACATGGTTTTATTGAATAGATAATGAATGACGTGGTGTATCAAATTTATCTAAGAATTTTTTATAGTTTTAAAGGCAATTAGATAACTCATTGGAGTGTAATTTAGTTAAAAGTACTTTATACTAGTAAATGAAAAGATTATATCATTATCCTTGTCATTATCAATCAATACACCAATAAAATATTAATATATAATTATATATAATAAATTTTAATTATGAAACAAATTAGAGCATTCACAAACTATAGTTAATAATATGGTATGGTTTACTTTTCAAATTTTATACAATAGAGTATTAAACAAAGCACGTGTTCGATATAAAAAATGTTTCGAAAGACACTGTTTTAATATTGGCCATGTATCCGATTCACCTGTAGTGGCGGAGCTAGAATCCTAGCTCAGGGAGAGCAATGATGAAGTTTGGATCTTCAGTAAAAGGAAGACATTTCTGTCTATTTCAAATCAATTATTTCTCTTTTGTTCTTTCTTTTTCTTTATTCCCTATCCAGCTTTCAATTGTAAATTCGTAAGTGCAGCAAATTAGCAAAAAACATTCACCCAATTTATTTTTGAGTTTTAAATCTTTATTGAGTAGTATTTAGTGCGAGAAGTGAGTCTATTTAGTCATATTAAATTTTTTTATTTTTAAAATAATTAATAAATAATATTGGTATTTAGGTATAGTGAAATTGTGGGATAATATTCATGAAGCTAAGTTAAAAATTTGAATAAATTTGGGCTAAAAAATAAGATTGAAATGGATTTGAAGTTTAAAATATAAAAATAAAGGGGTACAAAATATAATAAGTAAAAGGTGTAAATTATAAAATATAAAAACTATACTCCCAAACATGTCATTTTTTTCAAGTGAGGGGGCATATATCCCCCTCAATTACATGTGATTCTGTCACTGGTTAAAATCTGGCAAGCTATAACTTATCTTTTCTTTTTTAATTATTCGTGAAAAAAAATTAATTGATCGTCTTTAATTATGTTCGAGCTACCCATCGTGTCGCTCCTTTCAGTATCAAATAAAGCAGTGAAGCATTTTTTCTCCTCTTTTCCTTTCATCTGCTTTTAAATTTTTTGTTTTAGCCACCAGCAGCAAAGCATCTCTTATGTACGTACATAGAGCATGAGCAATTTTTAGGTAAATCGAATACACCGTTTTATGTGTAGCATGTCCAATGATATTTAAATAATATTAAATAAAAATTGATTCTAACATTAATGATAATAGAAGAAAAAGAAATTAAAATGCATTTTGTTATTAGAATAAACCTAATTTAAATAATATCATTTAGATGACCTGGTATATTATAATTGGACAAATCATAAATTATGTGGTGCAGTTTGTTTATCTAAGAAGTTCTCATGTCTAATTTAAATCTTCCCAAATTAATGTCGACCGCACAAATGTAAATCTAATATCTTATTATTCCTTTTTTCATTTCACTTTCATTTTCCACCCATAAGGTATCACATTCTTCCACAACCAAATTCCAATGCCTGTATCTCAGTTATCTCAATTCCAAATACAGAGAGAATCAAATTCCAATGATTACAATGTTTTCTTGAATTTATAAGCGAATCAAACATTCGATTTAAACATAAAAAGAAGCACATGCGTGCATGATGCAACCTTCTTGTTGTCCCCTTCTTTTCCTTTTATAAAACGGATCCAATGGATGTGCATTACAGTACTCCCACAACTTTATTACAAACACCTTTTGCATATTTTATCTAAATTACTAATACTAATAATTATTAATTTTGTCCACCTAATATCCATAACTAATTATAAAATTCTTTCTGATTAATTAAACAAACTCCTCTAACTAAATACTTGAAGAATGAAGAAGAAAAATATTTGAAGCATGTAAGGTACGGATAAATGTTTGAAGAAAAATACATGCGATCAAGTGAACTGGATGATAGATTGACTTGAATTAATAATAATTTTGGAAGAATATATAGCTTCAACCAGGCCCTAAATGTTTAATAGTTTAAATTGATAATTGTACTCATTTTTTTAAAATAAATAACTTAACTGTTATTCAATTGGTATTTTGAGTCCTAATTGTCCTTCCCCTCAATTAATTTAAGTTTGTACGTTTAATTCCTGTTTGTATCTTTATGGATCCGATACTCTCAGTTATTGAACATATCAAAGTGAAAAGGGATACTAAGGCTTTGTATTTCAATGAGAAGAAAATAGAGATGATAGAAAATTAGGAAAGAAAATTAGAGAAAGGAAAAGACATTTTCACCCTTAGCTTATTTTCCCTACTTTGCCTTTAGAGATGGGAGAACTAAAGAAAAAAAAAACTTCTGTTTGATTATGTTTTCTGTTTTGTTGGGAAAAAAAGATTATGTTTTCTTTTTTAATATTTTTAAACCAATTATGTAGAGCTATTTTTTAGAACAAGTTCTAAAAAAGAGAAAAAAATATGTTTAAATCATGATTCTAGAAGAAGTCTAAAGTAATAAAATAAAGGGTGAAAGAATTATTTATTTTATTAACATCATTGTCATGAGTGAAAATGTGATATTTTCTACCTTTTCTCTAGTTTTGCTGAACAAAAAAGTAACGAAACATTAAAAAAAATGTTCTGATTTTTTAGTTTTTCAGAAACACTTTTAACTTTTTTTTCGAAACAGATAATAATAGAAAATACATTTTTAAACATGTTTTTTATTTTTTATTTTTCAAAAACAAAAAAGCTGCTCTACAAATAGGTAATCAAGCCCTTTATATCAGGGAAGAAAAATGTCTTTTTTCCCCCTACTTTTTTTTTATTTTATAATTGTTTTCTCTCCCTATTTTCTTTTCATTACGAACATGGGGAAAGGATCAACGGGATGAGAGGCTACAAGATAATGATGATTAATTAAACTTTTTACGAATAATAAAAGTAAGTTGGAGGTAGGAGAAGTGATAAAGACTCGCCACTCAAAAAGATTAAAGATAGGAAGCAGATCTCACCTATCTATGCGGCTATATATGCCTTTAAGAGCCAGATTTTTTACAAGGTCCCTCTATAGGGCTTATCATCATGGTGCTTATCATCATGTGCGGATGATGAGATCTACATATTTAAAATATTATTTTATATTTTATTTTTATTTTTATTATAATAAAAATTATAAATCAATCTAGTCTAGATTTAATTTGGAGTGTTTAATTTAATATTAAAATTTTAATAATTTTTATATATTAACTATTTAAATATACTCTAAATAGTTCAAATTTAAATTTTAAACCTATAATTTTAATTTCTTACAAAATATTTTTTTAAGAAAGTGCCAGTTTTAGATATTTTAATTTTTAATACTGTATTTATCAAAATAAAAATGTATAAAAAATTTTAATATTAAATTTGGACTACTAAGAGTATATTTCAATAGTTAATATATAAAAATTATAAAAATGTTAACATTAAATAAGCCCTCCAAATTAAATCTAGACTAGAATGATGGTAAAAATTATCAATTTTTTAATAATTTTTATAAATTAAATTAAATTTTAATAAATATAAAATAAAACTTTAATTTCTAACCATCAGATTAAATTTTGGATAGTCCAAATCTCATCATCACCAAGAACACCACTGAAGATGAACCCAAATAGGATAGGAGCGAGGGACGTACAGTCAATATGGAAACAGTATCTACCAACAAAATAAATCATGCTATATTATGTATAGTTTGTTAATATTTTTTGGTAAATTTTGTTATTTATAGTTATATATATTAATAATATATTTATATATTTATATTGACATTAATATGGGTGAGTGTACACACATACCAAATCAATGTCGATGGCACTAATTTAAATCGATTCATATATTATTTCCTTTAGCATTTAATTTTTATCATGCCTTAAAAATAAAGAATAATCGGCACAAGTGTGAACCACATCACATATCTTTATAAGTTTTAATTTGAACATTCAATCCATTTTTAAAATGTAATTAGATTTATATTGAAATTTTAACAATCTTGATATTAATCATTATAATAAAAGCTTCAGCATTTGTATAGAAATTTTGACAGAATCATGCCTATAAATAAAATCTCTCAAAAATTTTACAATAATATATGTGGAGCATCTAACCATACTTTTCAAAAATAAGTACATGGATATTTATAATTACATCAAAGAAAAGGATTTCAATCAATTCATCACCCAACACAGCTAAAAGTCTTTAGGGGTTGGCAAAATAATCAACAACAACTAAGGTATCTGAGACCAATTATAATGACCCTACATTTTAAATTTTAAGAAAATCATAAATTTTTTTTATAAAAATTAGTTTTATAACAAATGGAGAGTAGTGATTCAGTAAAATTTAAAGTAATAGCTCACCTAAAAGTCTAGAGATTAAATTCTTTTGAGCAATAGGCTAATTTCATTTAGTTTAAAATTATGAAAAAAATTCCAAAAGTGCCCATGTCTATTATGTTATTAGGGGAAAATAACGTGCCCTCTCTTGTAATTTTCACAATTTCCTTATGTTCAGACTTCTTATTCCTCTCTGTCGATCAGACGCACAGATAGGGGAAAAAAATCTAAAACCTTTGACTCAGTCTCCATTTTCACTACTGTCTCCCTTCGTTTCTCTTCATGTTTTCTGGTGATCTTTCACTTCTATGCCTTCAGTCATCATCTTTCTCTTCTCTCTTCTTCTCTATTCGGTTGAATTTGGTGATTGAGAGAAGCTTCGAACTCAAGACCCCTGTTATTCTCCATCTTTTTCGTTCTCCTTCCCTACTGTTTTGTCCGTTGCCAGTGTCCAAGTTTGCCATGGATTCATCGCTGACGAGGTCGGAGTAACGGTCACTGTGCTTCTCTTTCTCCTCTGTTCGTGTGTGCTGCGGGGTGCTGTCATCGAAGCCTCTCCTCCATCATCTTCCCCTGTTTCAAGTGCTAAAGTCTATCTTCCTTCTCCGTCCTTGCTGTGGTATGAAGTGCACCAGACCTTCTTCTTTCTCCTTCATACTCGTGTGATTGCAACTTTCTGTTCATTTTTGCTTCTGTCATCGTGGATTGAGGTAAGGATGTCTGAATCTCTTTCTCTCTACTGGTCTTGTGCGTGAATAGAAGAGCTAATAGGATATAAACAAGTTGAAGATCAAGTTTTAAGAGCATGATTTCTAATATGTTATTCATTATAGTTGTTCGATTCAAATTTGGGAAGGATGGAAGTGGGTTTAAATCTTGATCAAGCTTAACTAATTAATTCTTAGTAAGGGGTGGAACATGAGGAGCTTGATATTAATTTGAGAATTAATGCCTATGAGGTATTTAATAAAATGTCTAAATGTGAGTTTTGACATATTATGGCAAGATATGTGTGGTGGACATATTGATAATTAAACAATTACTGTTAAAAGAGAACTTTTAGAAAGGGAATTTATGCGAAAGAGGCTTGATAGTTTGTGATGTTGTGTTAAGCATTAAGGAAGGCATAAACAAGATGGGAAGGTTTACTTTTGCTCTTGTTGGGTTATTGTTAAGTTAATAATTTGATAAGAAAATAGTTGGCTCTATATGTATAGTTGTAATGTTAGTTGGAATTAATTTAAATGTCCTTAATTGCTTCAGAAATTAATTGATAAGTGAAACTAAAGGAGGAAGAAAACTTATTTGGATTAAAAAGAATCTTGTTAATTAATGATGGTTAGCATATTAAGTACTTATTTATTTATATTAAGAGAAGAATAAAACAAGTGATTTAGGATTTTGATTGACTTATTAGGAAAATTAATGGTATTCTTGGAATTAAGTGAGAAGTTGAAGTGAATCAAACTTTAGAATCCTTGGAGAATTTTCAGGTAAGTGGATAGCGTCCCAACTGATTTTTTTCAATTAAAATTTCCTTTACTAAAATATATCATTTTTTTGGAAATCATTTTAATAGCATTAATGTGATTTTTGGATATTTGTTGATTAACATTTCTTTATTTTGAAAAATTAACTTTACCAAATTTGAAATGTTATTTGATCAATTAAGTTAAGTTTGAATTTTGATTATGAAATTTTTATTTTATCAAATATTGAATTGATACAGAGAATGATTCATGCGAGTTCGACGTTGCAATTTTTTTTATTCAATAAATGCAAGCATGAGCATAGGATATGAAATTTGATTCTGGCAAGTTTTAATGCTTAAAAGTATTCATGCGAGTTTGATTTTGAGCATGAGAAATGTATCTTGAAAGTGATGATTTTATCGCATGTTTGAAAATGATTTTAAAAGGGACTTTATATAGAACACTGGTTGCTAACGGCAGTTCCGTTAGCCTTTAGCGTGTCATGGTACACCTAACTAGTAGGGTGTTTATAAGAGGTGCTAACCCCATGTAATGGCCAACGCATGTGGAATGGAGGGATGGTTATTCGTGAGTATCGTAATCACGTTTGTTTCGTAACCTCGGCTACATTTGGTTACATACCCTCATGAACTGTGTGTCTATATTTGTTTCGTGATTTCGGCTGCGTTTGGTTACTTAACCTCGTGGATTGTGTGTCCATGTTTGTCTTCATGGCAAGAGTTGCGTTTGGTTATTTACCCTCGTGGACTTTGTGTCCACGTTTGTTAATTGTTCTAATAAGTTCCTGTAATATGAATTTGATTATTTGATGATTTTACATTCTATTGTTTTTTTAATTAGTGAATTATTTATAATTATTTATTTATCTTCTTGAAATCAAGTGATATTATCATTTTCTATGATAGTTCAATGATTTGAGATTTTATTTGAAATTTATAGAGCCATTTTATTATGAAGTTTATAAAATTTTTACAAAAATTATGTCTATTTAACTTACATAACTATTTCAAACTTTTCATTTTGTTTATGTTCTATTATTTATTGTTAAGACGTTATTCACTGAAAAATATATTTTGGTCTCAGATGATATAGTTGAACTCGTGACTTGAGATATCCAATGAGGAGTTTTATTACTAAATTGAAGCAGAAGAATTATTTTATTCAACTCCTAATTTGATGAAAAATTTAAACTTTATATCCATGTGGGCGTCTGGCCTTAGGTGCTCTATGTAGACTACAGGTAGGATCCTCATATTTTTTTTAAAATTGAATATCTAATTTAATATTGTAACAATTTTTAATTACTCTATTAGTGTATTTAACATATTAATTTTAGAGTTTCTCCTATCACGGTTTAAGGGATATGAGTTTTGTGCCCATATCCTGTGCTGGTGACATCGGATTTTTCAGGGGTATGACACCAATAATAATTTTTCAATGAATAACACCCCAATAATAAATAATAGAACATGAATAAAATGAAAAGTTTGAAATAGTTGTATAAGTTAAAGAGACAACAATTTCCGTAAAAATTTAATAACTTTCACAATAAAATGGCTCTATAAAATTTTAAATAAAATCTTAAATCATTGAACTATCATAGCAAATGATAATATCGCTTCATTTCAAAAAAGTATATAAATGAAATACATATTTATAAATAAATTACTAAACAAAAACCAATGGAATATAAAATTACCAAATATTTTTGTTCAAAAAAAATTAAAATCACCAAATATTTGGATTCATAATTATAGGGACTTATTATAATAATTAACAAATGTGGACATACAATATTCCACAAGAGTAAATAACCAAATGCAGCTTATGCCACAAAAATAAATGTGGACACACAATCCATGAGGTTAAATAACCAAACGCGGCCAGAGCCACGAAGACAAACATGGACACACAATTTATGAAGATAAATTACAAAATGCAGTCTAAATCACGAAAGCAAATATGAGTATGAGACCCACGAATAGCAAATGTGAGAACAAAGCTTACAAAAATTAAACTAGCTAGTCATTTACCATAGCGTGCTAAGGACTAACAGAACTTTCATTAGCAACTAGTGTTATGTATAAAGTCCCTTTTAAATTCACTTTCAAACATGCAAGAAAATTATCACTTTCAAAGTATAATTTCTCTTCTCAATATCAAACTCACATGAAACATAATAAAACATTAATCCTTCTAAATATAAAAATTCATAACTAATATCTCATAAACTGTCCATCAATTTTCATAGTTGGTTTTATCAAATAAAGGACTGCTAGAATTTATATAAGTATGTTCATCAATCTGAAAAATAAATGTTATGACTTCAACAGCTAAAATAACTTAATTAACAAAAGTAATCAACAATAAAAATAATCTTGATACATGTAAATAATTTAAAACAACATTTTGATAAAACAAGATTTACTAATAATTTAATTAAGACGTTATCCACTTACCTGTAGAGTCTCCAAATGTGTAACTTACTTTCAACTGACCTTCTAATACGATATTTGACCTTTAAATTTCTATTACCCAAGTAACACTATTGTTATTCATTTATAAACTTTATTATTCGAGACTTCAATCCAAAATTCTAAAGAGATATCACAAATAAACCTCAATCTACGCTTTTCTCAAACATTGTATCAATATTTTGCAAGTATGAACTCTTTAACTAATAAATCTAGGTTCTTTTATTCAAATCTCATCCCAATCAATTTTCATAAATTTTTCAATGTCAATGCACGTTTAAATTAATCAAACTTCTTCAATATAATAACTAAAGAGTTACATATGGAAAGAAAAGAAAAATATTATGCTGATAGATTTATAGTAGGAATCATTATTTTAAATTTTTGAATGACTTAATATATAAATTGTTTTGTGCGAGGCCAAATTTTTAATATAGATACTTATTGGTAGGTAAAATTATTTTAAGAATAGCTATCATAAATAATTTTAAAAATATATTTTATTAATATGAATAACAAAGTGATAAATTAAGCAAGTCTCTCCAGTCAATGCTGAAAATGGATCCAAATTAATAATGTGCAGAGGCTGGTGCCTTGTTTTTGTTTGACTTTTATATCGTTTCGTCAAGTAGCTGTTTTTTTTTTAAAAAAATAAAATAAAATAAAGCAAATGATGCGGATTATTGATCCGACATTTGTCTTTTTTCCTAATTATTTTTCTGTTTTATTTCCTTTTTTATAGACTCAATAACCTGAGGCGGACCCCAGATGCTTAGTGCGCGAGGCAAAATTCTTAAAAAATAATATAAATATTTATTTTTAATTAAAGTGATTATAACATCTATTATAAATAATTTTTTATATAAAAATGATTAAATAACAGTCTAACCTGTTTATAGTGAAAAAGGATCCGAAAAACGGTGCAGAGGATGAAGCCTCGTTTTTGTTTGACTTAGCTTGTATATTTCTTGCAGCACTTGTTCTGAAAATAAATAAATTATTAAAACACTATACGATAATATTTTGTTTCACTCAGTCAATATATATTAGATTCTTAAATTATAAATTTTTTTATTGAATTCTAGATTTTTTAACTGACAGTCAATGGTTGATGACATAATTTCTTCTGTTGGATATTCTTGTCTTTCTATTGCAGCAATATTTGATATTTTGTAACAATTGATTAGTGGGAGAATATCTCCCAACAGAATGTCATCCATCTACATGACTCTAATTTAAGACTCTGTTGCATTACTATTTTTGATCCCTTCTTTTTCCTACTTGTCCTTCTTAATTAGTTATGCCATAGGTTGAAGTTCAGTGTAGCTTTAGAGTATCATAGTCAGGGCAATTTGAATGCCTACATCTACTAATAATAGTATTTTCCCCCTACATCTGTTGATTAATTAAGGGTGAATTATTAGACTATAATAATTGAACTGGGCCAGTTATAATTAATTTAATATTTTTAAATAATACATAAATTATAAAATATATTCCGTCATGACCATAAACTAATATCTAATATAGAAATATTCAATCAAAGGATAAAAAATATAAATCATTTATAATTTTTAATTAATTTTAAAAAACAAATATATTTAGTGGTTTTCATCCTCTCTCTGTTTTTTTTTTTTTACGAGTATGAATAACATAGAGATTTTCATAAATATCAAATAAGACTTAATAATATTATTTCAAAAATATTTATCTAAACTAATGGCCTGGATTTTCTAGATGTAGGGGGAAAGTATTATCAGTAGATATAGATATTCAAGTTTGTATAGGGGAACTGTGAAGTGAAGATAGATGAAAATTGAAAATGAGAAAGGGGAGATGAAAAGGGGCTGGGCCAAGAGAGATGTAAAGAGTGAGAGACCAAATTAGGAGAAAACTGAAAACAAATATAAGGAGGGTGAAATGCATCCACAGCAACTCATCTCCATATCAGGAAATATTTTATATTTTTGATTCCCTGCATTGCTCCTTGCTGAAACGTTTGAGGTATATTTCCACTTTTATTGTTTATTTTTTGTTGAAACGTTTAGTTTAATTTTTATATTTTACATTTATTTTTTCAAATTATTTTCATGCTTCATATATATATGTGTCTCAAGTTTAGGTTCTAAATCATATTTCATAAACTTGAATACTTAACTAATAATGTCACGCCTCGAAAATAGAGTGATCGGCACGGGTGCAAACTATATCGCGCATTCCCGTAAGCCTTAACATGAGAATTATAACACTTTTAATATTAGCTGTCATAAGAAGACTTCAACATTTTTATACAAATTTTGACAGAACCTCCCCTATAAATAGGATCTCCTGAAAATTCTACAACAAAACTTTTCACAAAATACAGTATCAATAAGGAGATTAGCTCCTTCCAGCCAGCAACAGTATATATAGAACAAAATAAAATCCTAACAACAATCTATGTGGAGTACTAATCTTTCTTTTAAATAAAAAATACATACGACTTATATATTTATATCAAAAGTAACAATATCAATTAAAATTTTCACCCAATGTAGCTATATTGCCCTTCAGATGTCGATGGTGGGATCTATGTCAACTAACAAATCTAAGGCCAAAATAAGTTTTTCAATGAATAGCATTCTCAAAGTAGAATTTAAAAATTTAAATTAACAAACTCAAATAATGGTGTAAACTAATTAAAAAGATAATAATTCAACATGATAAACTTATAAGCCTGTAAATCATAACCATAATCGTACAATGAGAGTAAATTGGAAACAAATTATTTTATCATGCTTAAAGAAAATAATTTATTCACACATAAATCAGAGTGATATAATTGCTAGCCAAAATCATGTAAATTTCAAAAACACATATTAGTCAACATTTAGAATTTTGAAAACTCAATATAACAAGTAACAAATGTGAATACACAGTGCACGAGGATAAATAACCAAACGTGGCTTATGATATGAAAACAAATATGGACACACAATCCACAAGGATAAGTAACTAAATGCAACTGAAGCTATGAAACAAACGTAGATACACAGTCCACGAGGGTAAAGCTAACCAAATGCGACTCAAGCCATGAAATCAAACATGAGTACAAAGCCTATGAATATCAAATGTGAGAACAAAGCCCACAAGACAAACTAACTAGTTTTTAACCACAGCACACTATGGGCTAACGGAACTGCCGTTAGCAGCAGTGTTATGCTAGAGTCCTCTAAAATCACGTTTCAAACATGTGAGAAAATAATCACTTCTGACATACAATTTATATTTTCAATATCTAACTCGCATAAATCATTTCAACTTTTAATCTAATACTTGTCAAAAATAATACATCATAAAAACTATTCAAGCTTGCGTTAATTGAATAGCCAGACATTTCTAGAGTTTAATAAACAAAATAATTTCATAATTCTTTGAAATATATTTCTTTAGAAAATAAATACATATATTATCATTGAATTATCCATCATCAATGTTCCATAATTTCCAAAACTAATGAATTTCATAAGAGTAAAATGTTTTAATAAAAGTCTATTACAATAAAATAAATTAAAGAGAATGCTATTCATTTACACGTTGGAGTTCAAAATTTTTTAAGGTATCCTTCCTTTAATTCTTGTCAGGGTCTCGTCCTTCGACACACCCTATCAAGATATAAATAAATAAAATTTTAATGGATTTCCAATCTTTAACACAATTTCAAATTAACCATCATCATCTAAAATTCAAAACTAAATTTATGATTTAAAATTAGTCTATCCTTATAACTTCCTCCATAAAGCTTTAGCCATACCGTACCATTTCTATAAGGTAAAATTTTTTATTAAGTACTTTATCAAACACTATATAGGTATAATTTATCAAGCTATTATTAGTTTTTTCTTTCTAAGTTTTATCTACCTTAAACCTTACATTATTAATAATTCAATTATTTTTAAATAGAACTTCAAGCTACAACACCATGTCCTTCCTTATACACCCAAAAATCACCTTAAAAATTAAATTTCTCCTTCTTATTCATGCAAGTACAGTCACAGAAACAGGGGAGCTAAATTTCTGAAACTTCAATCCTCAAATCACATATATGTATAACAAAAAGGAACTAAAACTTAAGACTTTCTTACATTAGATCACCGTAACCGAAATCGAGAGGAAGGGAACAAATAAACAGCTGAACACAAGTTAAACTTCTGCAATGTCACGCGCACACAGCAGCTCCCCTACTCTCTCACAGACAGCAACAAAAAATGCACTCACAAGCATGGCTGAATCAATAATAAAAGGATTGAAGCTCCTCACCTCAACCCAGTTAAGCTGTGTAGTGGCGGACGAACTGAGGAAAGAAAAGAAGAACTTGAACGCCGAACAGAGGAGGTGAAGCTCAGTGACAGACCCTCAACCAGCACCCCCAATTTTGCGTGCTTCTCTTCCCATGGACAGACTTGGATCACCACATCAAAAGCAGAAAGAAAAAGAAGGGTTTCAACGTGCAGCCAAGGAGACGAGCAAAAACGAAAACGACAGAAAAACAAGGAGAAACTCACAACAGTGGCAAATGACACAGCGGCGGCGCTTTAGTGGTGGTGACTGGCATGAAGGATGACAACCCTTGGCTGAGAACGAAGAAGGCAGAGATTCGATGGGTGATAGGGCAAAGGTTCAGTGTAAGTTTCTCAACTCTCTCCCTGCTCCATAATGATCACCGAAGAACGAAGGAAGAGTTTTAAAAAATATCTGATTGTGATAAGGGTAGTTTAGTAATTTCACAAGGTAAATAAGCAGAGGAAAAAGAATGAATTCGTTGTAGGCTTGCTCAGATTCGAGCTTGGGACCATGTGAAAGTATACCAGCATCGCTACCACGGCATCAGCTTCCTCTCTTGGCATAATTGTCTGAAGATTTAATATAAATACACTTAAAATTACGACGCGCACACGCTAATTTATTTTATCAGGGTTATTACAAATAACTGCTTAATTTTTTGAAAAATTGGGCGGCATTTTTTCTTGAAAATTAGCCATCCAAAAATTACATCAAGCTGGAAATCAAACTACCACTTATTAGTAATCAATAAGTAAAATCTCTATGACAATTTTTAAGCCCTTTTCTATCATTTAATCATCAAAATATCAGGCCTTATTATGTCTAGAAAAATAGGGCAGCATCTCATCATTATGAAAACTCAAGCAAAAATTATGAAAAATGACTCAAAAAGAAGCTCTTCCATACCTCTTTTCAATGCATTAACTTATTCTTGCTTCTTTCACCACTTCCTCCATCTATGCCACTTCAAACTCATCCTCTTCAAAAACTAAAATCATAGAAATGTCCTTCTTGATGAAAGGAACAACTTTTGTGGAGGCACTTTGAGGTAGAAATGTGGTTTTGATAGAGATTTTATTTATTTTTCCTTTTCCCTCTCTAAACTTTCATGGAAGAAGCTCACGCACTCTCTCTCTATTTCCGCAATTTGACCACCGAAATGTGTAAAGAAGAGGAGGTTATGTGAGGTTAAAGTGGGGAAATTAACTTGTTCAATTCCACTCGTTTCCAACCAAGCATTTTTCCCCTTATTTGGGCCAAGTAAAATTAAAATTCCTCCTTCATTTGCTGCCCATTATCCACGCCATTTCTGCCTCCAAAAATTGGGCTTGGATTTGTCTCATGTTACTTCCTATCGATAGTTAGAAATATTGATATTTTTCTTACCTTGATATAATTTAAATCTCATAATTAATTATTTGGAAAATTCTTAACCAACAAAATTAGCATTACTCTTCCAAATATTTCTCCCTCTCATATAATGATTTCCTTTAATTCTTCATGATTTTTGGATAATTTTTTGTAATTACACTTAAAGACCCAAAAGCTCTTAGAAATTATACTTTAACTCCGATTGAGATTGATATTTTAAGATTAATGTTCACTCTTATTTATTTTTAACTCTAGGTACTTTTTCATATTCTCATTATATTTAATTAGATATAATTAACTTTAAACATTAATACTTACTATTTTGCTTTGGATAGGCTATTACTCTTACTCAATTTTTTTCCTTTCCTTTCTTAGCCTAGTCGGTAGTTGAGCTATCTAAGAAAAAAAATCAAAGATACTCTCTCTATAATAGTTAGCCAAATTTAAGAGGTCTTAGTATTTTAAACTCATCCTAGACCATCATCTTTCTAAAAAACTATCACATACACTGTGGTTCAGTAACTTTCTATTGGGTCTATTATGAGCATGAGATATAGCTGCGATCTTGAGATCTAACTATGATCTCAATTAGCCCTTTTTGAATTTACTATGATTCTTAGAATTTAACTATGATTCTTCTCTAGAAGACTTAGGACATAAGGATAAAGTTGTCAAATAATACTATTCCTATTTAATTCATCAACTTTATTGATTATTCTCGATGACTAATCTTAGATATCTCTGTTGCCCTCTTAAACCTTATTTATTTCTTTTCAGCCTATCCTGGATATTTCTTGACTTCAATTTGCTCATTTCTTAGTTATAGACACTTCCTTGAAATCTGTAAAAATATTACGCTTCTGTTTAAGAAAGACTTTAAAATTATCATTTGGTCCCTAAAAACCATTCTTTCTTTTCAAGTCACTTTAGGGACCTTCAATTCCTTGGGCTTAGTAGCTTACTGAATTTTGGCATATTCTTAAGCTTTTAAGCTAAAAATTCAAGATGTTACAAAATGTGACAAAAGTGATTGTAAAACAAGAGGAGGTAGACACTAATGGGGTTTAGGTCTAATGTCACAATGTGACAAACCAAAGTTTGAATTCTTACTCAAATCTATGTTAAATACTTGTATGCAATTAAAAACAACATGGAGTAGATATAGGAAGCATGAAATAGTGTTAATAAACTAATAATTATTTATACATAGAGAGAGGATCTGTATTAAATTATTGTATAATATATGATTATGTTTTATATAATAATATCAATATTAATTTTTCTGGCATCTATAGTATATAAGAAAGTTTGCTAAAAAAATTTATCTATAGAATTAAAATGCATATTTAACATTTCAATTGAAAAAAATTATTTATATAATCGAATATATATATATAAATAATATAACTTATTTATTTTTAAAATATGTAAAATTAAGTGACTCTAAAAACAACATTAAGTTGTAGTCTTATTGATTGCAAGAATATCATGGAAGCATATTGCTTTAGTTCACATTTTTTATAGCCTTGTTAAACAATTTTTTTCCTTTTTGTATGCAAAACACCACTTATTGAGTAAAATTTTTTTTGGTCAAAATTTCTCTTTAATGAAGATAAATTATTACTACAAAAAGTGTTTTTGTTAAAAATATAAATTTAAAAATAATTATAAATTATATTAAATAATTTTAAATTTTTTTGAAATATTTAAATAAATTAAAATTGAAAACATAAAATTAAAAATAAATTATATAAATTAAAAAAATATTTAAAAATTAATATAATTTAATTTTAAATCAAGTTTAATTAAATAATATAATATAAAATTGCATATTAAATTATTAACAAAACTTCCAAAATTATTTTTTCAGGTCAAATAGATTAAAATTATTTAAAAGTATTATTTATTATAAACTAATTTTTTAAATAACATAAATATTGTAAAAGTGTATAGTTTAGTAATATTTATTTAATTTTCTAGTAAAAAAAGTAATATATATTTAATTTTGGGAATTTAATATATCAAATTCATTGCAATTCAACTAGCAAAAAGGTAGACATTAAAAGTGGAGCCAAGATCATGGGTTATACTCCAAGGCAAGACATTTATAAAATAAATATAGGCATGATATAGCATGCATATGGTAAGTGATATGGCATAACGTGGATATTCACATGATAGATGACATAGCACAACGTGGCCCACATGTGGGAGTGGATTGAGGGAATAAAATTTAATTTTAAATATGTTATATAAATTTCTCTTAATATATTTCCTGAAAAACATCTCTTGAAACATTTTTGAAAGAAAGTTCTCACAAAACATTTTGAGAGAATATTTCTCTTGAATAAATTTGAGAGAAGTTCTCTCATACTATTGTTTCTCTTGAAATATTTTGAGAGAAAAAAATTCTCGCAAATTTTAACCCAATTTTTTTGAGAGAAAATTTAAGAGAAATTTATTCTCTCACATTTTTTTTATGATTTCTCTCAGAATACTTCTAAGAAAAATGTGTTATTTTGTTGTAGTGATGTGTTTGCTGATAAATAACATGGTGGGTGCGTGAGAAGGAAGGTAAGAGGGCATGAAGTTAAAATAATATATTTTATGAGTTAACTAGATAAAATTAATCTTTTGAAGATATATTGGTGATGAAATTAAAAGGCACAAGGTCAAGAACATGAATGATTGTAGATGCCAAAGATTCTATTAGTTAGTGTTTTGATTGATGGATTTAAATTTGAAATCTTACATTTCAAATCTTACATTTAAAATCGATGTCTTTAAAATTCTTTGCTTCGGTAGTTTAAAAAATTTCAAATAAAAAAGATAGATGAATTGATATTTGAAACAAAAATTAAAAATTAAAAATCATGAGTTGATTTTTATCTTTTAATTGACAAGAGATGAGAAAAGATACAGGAATCATAAAGACATATTAAAAGTAAGAACGTAAAGAGAACAAGATGTTAAAATGATTAAAATTTCAAATGACTATGGTGTATTGAAAATTTAAAATTTTAAAGAAATTATAATTTGAAATAGATTTGAATTTTAATCAAATTCAAATTTATAAATTTTCGTGTATTCAAAAGAAAAAGTTGGTCTAAATCCAAATCTTCTTTAATCCAAATGCACCATTAGTTATATTAGTTGTGCCTAACTCTTTTACACTACCACGAAAGTTGATTGTATTGTAACCAATTTGAGTGATTCTAGATGCTCAACAAAAAAGCACTTTTGGTTGCATTAGTTCTCTCAGACGTTTCATCACCTAACAACAGTTGGATTAGTTAGAAGAACAAAATCACACTTTACTAATTTCTTGTTGCCTTTCCACTAACAGTCATGACTGAATTTATAAAAGAGGTAAATATATTTTTAAAAGTCTTATTTTATTATGTTATTTAAGAGTAGTTAATAATCCTCTTTTGCAAATTATATTTTAGATATTTGACAATGCAAATCCATTTTCTGAGGCAGAAATTAAAGATATCTGTGTATGTTGGGCAACTTATTTTGTGAGTTTTATTGATAGTTTCATGCAATTTTATATTCCATTGATTTTTATTTAGTAATTTATTTATAAGTATTCATTTCATTTATATGCTTTCTTGAAATCAAGTGATAATGACATTTGCTATGATAGCTCAATGGTTTAAAATTTTATTTAAAATTTTATAGAGCCATTTATTCCGAAGTCTTAAAACTTTCATGGAAATTAGTTTCTTTAACTTACATAATTATTTTAAACTTTTCTTTTGATTCATGTTAAATTATTTATTATTGGGACGTTATTTACTAAAAAATTATTTTTGGTCTCAAATGCCTTAACTGACTTTGATTCTCTTGTTGACCCTGAGGAATTTTAGTTGTGCTAGGTGGAAAATTTATTGAGATCCCTCCTTTTGATGTAATTACAAATAGTTATGTATTTTATTTTGAAAAGTATAATTTGATGCTTCACGTAGCCTATAGCTAGATTTTTATTTAATATATGTTGTCTGTTGGCTGGAAGGAGCTGAACTCCTGATTGACATTATATTTT